TTTTGCCTTTCATTGTTACATATCACTACGATTTCCGTCACGTTCCATCATTGAACGGCCACGAAAATCAACGTATCGCTTTCACACACTTTACCCCCAAAAAGAGCTTGGAGTCTTAATTCGGTTGTTGTTGTCATTGTTGCTTGCTTCTACTGCTCATCTTTATCCTCTTGGGAAATATCTGCTTAGGCAAAAGGCATGGCATCGATGGGGTATGGGTTACCACTACTGTATTACCTCATGAAATAATGGGTGCTTTGACGGGATCTGTTTTTCTTTCGAAACGGGCGTACATGGAGAGATATCTCTGGTTTCTGGTTGGAATACCATGGGAAAGAGGTTACCGATCTCGTAGATGAATGGGTCTCTTGGCGAAGATGGGTGTGTTGTTGTACTGTATACTACACAGTCATAACTTCACCTGACGTTTTGTCCAAATTTGCCACCACGTGAAGTATGTGGTGATCGTCCCGATTGACGGACGGGTATGAGTGGAGGCTACGGCTGACCCGCAGTTTTTTGGGGGCAAACGTCTAGTTGCCGCAGCTCCCGAGGTCGTGCAGGTGTCCTGACTAGGCGCTCTAGCTTGGTGGCTATATAAAGGTCTCTTGACTTGCTTCTTTGGCTGATCATCAAACTATCTTTTGTTCTTCCATTCTACCAAAACCCTGGTGAAGGTAACTCATGGCGTGTTTCAAAAGTACGATTCGTCTACCACATGTTCTCCCGTCGGTCTCCTGGAAAAACAAAAAACACTTCCAACTCTTCACTATGATCTGCTTCGAAAGTCGCCAAGCTGCAGTCGATGTGAGCAGTTGAGAGGATTGTGGCGAACTGCAAAAACAAAATCAATAGAGGCTGTATTCATGAGTTCGCTGCCCTCCCCGTCGCAGTGGCTATAAAAGCAGTCTCGTGGACTAAGACTCCTTCCTGCATCTTCCTCCTCTGCGATACTCAAAATCCCCAGATGAACTTCGCATGTCTGAACTTTCCCAAAATTCGTTACGCCAAAATGCATGGGTCTCGGTTCGCCTCTCCGCCTTTTACAAAAACGTCATGGTACGAGTCCATGTTGGACTAGAAACCAAATAGCAGAGTTCGGATGTCTGGAGACTTGAAAAGGCCACCTCTCAGCAGGATGTCTGCCGGTTTGCTGTTCTGAGCTTTCTACAAAGAAATCCGTCTTCGTACTATGCTGGATCAAAAATGAGTAACAACCCCGTGATGTCTGGAGACTCCAAAAGATGTCGCACCAACCCCATGTCTGTCGGTCTGCTGCTGCGCCTTCTGCAGAAAATGGAAGACCGGTTTCAAATGTTCTGCTTCCGCTTTTTCGCCACCCGAACGGGCATTAGCGGCGATCTGGACTGTATAAAACCACGTCGTAGCTCGTCTGCTTTCCTCGCATCATCTCTACACTCTTCTTCCAAAATATCAAAACAACTCGAAAGAGTTTTTATGTGGAGAGTCTGGAAACGCGTTCAGAGATACGAAATGACCCGCTCGTCTTCTTCCCTTCTTCTATATCCAGAACGAATGTCGGTCTACTCTATGACCCTGGAAGAAGTCTATCGCTGCCCGTCTTTCTAAAAGTTCAAACTGACCGCGTCATGTTGGTATGTGTGCGTCGAGAAGTCTGGCCTCGCCGGATACTCAAATTCCAAATTCGCAGATCTATGATCAACAAGATGGCTGGTGCGGTCTTAAAACGTACATCATCAGTCATATGTGCGGTTCCGGCCTCCAACTTCCCAAACAACATTCTCGGCACTCTATTCACTAAAATTCAGCAAAAATCATTTCATGTTTGCGAGACGCTGTTTCAGCGATTGATGAGTGTTGGAGTGCCTGTTTGTGGTCTACGGAAGTCATTGCCGAAGATTGCAATGTTGTGTGTGCGAGAAATACACTTAAGGAGTGCGCATGATCTGTGCGAGAGGACTTGCGCAACTTCAACAATCTGATTAAAATCCAAAGTAAAGTGTGAACGACTTATGTCGTTGTCCTCTTCGCTCTTTCCGCATCTCGTCCGCCCGCAAATACTAGTAGTATCGCGTGATGTCTGCGCTCTTATACACAACTGTTATGTATAAATACCTCTCCCTTCGTCGCTCTCCTCCTCTTCTTCTATCAACTGTCTCCTGGTGTTTAATACCAAAAATGACAGCCTCCGACCCTATGTGTGCGGCTTCGAAAAAAACCACCGGCAATACTATGCTGCGTTCTCCTCCGCTTCTCTTCCCGCGGTCTAGAAACTACATCATTCCCATATCATGTGCCAGCACTATCGCACCCTTAAACCGCACGGTCCGCTTGCTCTGGGTCTACTGCGACATAAATACTACCATCTTCGTCCCTCCAGAGACTTCATCGTTCAATCTTCAACCCGCGGTTACGCAGTACCCAAATCAAAAAACATTTTAGCCATGAGTGCGGACCTAAAAGCCAGCGGCACCGAAGCGATGTTCTCCAGCTGTCTCTCTCTCCTTAACTTCAAAAAGGCAGCGCCTCGTACTTATGTCGAGCACGATCTCTCCACTCTGCCTACCACACCACTCACCTTGGCTGACATATAAAAGCTACCCGGTTCTTCCTTCCCAAAGCTCTCATCTATCATCCTCAAGCCACCATTTTGCGAAAACAAAACTAACACGCCCTGATCGTGATGAGTGCGAGCTCAAAAGATCTGCAACAATGGAACATGGTCGCGCCTGCTCCCCCGCTCGCTGGGCCGATCTGAAATACAGACTTCCAGAACGTCATGACCAGCACCAGCTCTTTCGATCTTGCTACTTTACTTCTGCCTCTTGGAAGTATAAGAATCTGATGGCATCTGTCTGGATGATCTTCTCTTCCTTCTGCAACCTCTTTGCCTACAAAAGATCGAATTCAGATTCTTGAAAGGTTATGTGTGTGAGCCCAGAAAAGCAAATCGACTACCACATGTTTCCGCCTGCCTCTCTCTTCAAATCCGAAGTATTTTGCTCAATGACCTATGGACTGCGATATTCCACGCTCTGCTGTGCATGACGGCATGGCATGGTACGGCATTTGCACATAAATACCTCTGCCCCTCGGAGAATTATTGCCTCTCATTCTTACCGACTACTTCTCGTGATATACCAAAAGTCAGGTCCGCCTTTATGATGAGTGTGCGCCAAAGTACAAAATCTACGACCTCATGTTCTCGCCTGTCGCTCTCTTCCGAATCCAAATCCGCTATCAGACAGGACTATGGTCGGCACGATCTTGCGTCTTGCAAAGATTTGACGCGCATCAAAAGTGCACAGGTTCAGATCCATGGCCTGAGAGGTAGAGGTGTCTCGACGTGCCACATGGTGCCGCCGCTGGATATAAATACATTCTTTCCATGAACTCCTGTCTTCCGCCCTACACTCTATACCCCGGTGTGCAATACCAAAAATCCAAAGATGAGAGAGATATGGGTGTGTACCAAAAACCGCCACAAGCCCCACATGTTCTCTCTTCTTTCTTTCGCTCGCGGAGTGCATCTTAAACTTCATTCAAGATTCTCTATGGCCGTTCCTGGTCTTCCGCGCGTACCCACTATACGGCAATGTTACGGATAGACATAAATACCGCCCGCCTGTCGCTCCAAGTCCTTTACTTCACGCACTCGATATTTCTGTCCAGATCACACCAAAACCGCTCTCCAAGAGCGTCATGAAGCTCGCTCCAAAATGTATGCAGCCACAACCGATGTCTTTGCCTGCCTGTCTTCCCGTGGAGCGCAAAACACCACACCTCAAGAACAATGGCTCCCGCAACACACTCACTTTTTTTATGACTATGAACCTCCAGTCGCTTATAAATACCTCCTCACTATCGCCGGTGTTCTCTTCCTCCGTCAGACTCACCAGCTGATTCATAATACTAAAAAAGGCTTCTGAGGAGTGTATGGGTGCGCACCAAAAGCCATGGCTCAGTCTTTCATGCTCTCGCTCGCCTCTCATATCGCAAGGTTCCAAAGAACGACAGCTTTTGTTTGATGGCCGTCACATTTTTCCAAACTGTTTCCATTAATCTAATGTCCCGCTTGCGAAACTGGATATCTAAATTCTGATGTGCTCGCCTGTCCTGTTTGTCAGGGGCCCTGAGACGTGTTATTATACCGCCTGGCGGATACGAGTCTTTCTGAATCCTTATAGGAAGCTGCTCTTGTTGCTGTGACTGTCGGATTGATACTGATCTTGGGGTGCAAAGTGATGTGGTGAAGAACGGATAAATAGCTACTGAAGGGTAAATACGTACTCGATCACGTTTGCTACCCACTCCTTCCTCATTCTCGCTCATGTCCGGTCACCCATTCCATTATTTACGTCCCGAATTCGGTGGCTAGTGGTGTCCAAGGCACGCACTTCCCCCGCTGCAGGTTATTGGTCTGGCAAACCCGGCATATCTTATTCGTAGATGTATGCAATAACGCACAGTACTGCGAAAATATGATCGTCGCACGACCAGCTACTACCATATTACTTCATCGGTCGGTTCATTCCTAAGCAAGATTGTTGTTTTCTGAAGGTAGCCTGCCATATCCTCTTCTTTGACTGGTACCGCCACGATCTCCATATGGTTGCGGCCACGGGACGGTAAGGTCATCAGTCCGCGCACGTAGTAGTAATGAGGCCACTGATGACCCTGGAAGTCCTTCGCCATGTCGAGATACCCCGGAGTCACGGTAGGGCTGTTAGCATAAATCTCGATCGGCGAACTTCGCGCTGCTAGGTATCGTAGGACCTCGGTTGCCAACTGGGAGTATTGTACCGCATGTTCAACTGGATTGCAGAATTCAACATTCGACCACATTGCTAGCAAATGCGTAAGGCGCAAGCTGCGAAGCAAAGGAAAGCGGGCTATTACGTCCAAAGCCTTTGCAAAGTTCTGTTCCCGAGGAAACAGATATGGTACGCCACAGGTCATAGAGCGGATGTCGATAGCAGCTACATGAACGCCGAGCTCCTCTATCTTTGGACATCCACCTAGAAGTGTCTCGAGTTCGGTAGCCGTGTAGCAGTGATTTCTGGCTTCGGATAGCGGAAGGCGACTTGGATGATACAACGGATCCAAGTGGAGAAGTCGTAGAGTTTGCCCGTGTCGACATATTTTCTCCACATTGACATGCTGAGGATTTCGGGTCGCGACAAAAAGCCTCTCCAGGCCTGAAAAGCATCCGATAAACTGATTCAAGAACTTGAATAAATCTGGTTCTTCGAAAGATTGTGTAAAACACAGCGACTTCAAAGCGAAGCTGTCCAGTGCGGAGTATTCGATGCTCAAATGCTCTAAAAAGGACGAGACATTGATACAGTAGCTTATCTCAAGATCTGTAAGAGACTGGAGATCAGTGATCTTCCCCAGATGGTAAGGGCCGTCGAATAGGTTGAGGTACGACAGGCGAAGGTGTCGAAGCCTCAGAGGTATGAAAGTACTAGGACATTTCCACCTTTTAAGAGAAGCTAAGTCTCGGAATTCGGGATTGGATGGCTTGAACCCGTTGTAGTGTGCAATATTAAGGGTCTCCAAAGCTGGTGTGTTGAGAAGCCACGCATTAAAGTCGTCATCTTTGGCGGGTGTAATGGTCAACTTTCGAAGCTTATTCAAGTTGCCTACAAGGAAGCGAGAGTCCGGACGGCTATGCTGCAGTCCAGGGTGCTGATATGTAAGCTCTTCAATCAGATTTTGAGAGCGAATCAAAAGGCCCAAGGTCCTGGGGTTCCCAGTCGGTAGCTCCACGGTGCGTAATGTGTTTTGGGCCAGGACAGCGATCAGCTGCAGCACCTTCTCGGAGACATCAAAAGACGTAATCTTAAGATTCTTGACGTTATCGAGAAATCCGTCAGGTGGGGATAAGAGTAGCGCGTCGAAATCGCGACCTCGTTCCTGGAGATGGGAGCTGAAAGTCTTCCAGAGCACAGTCGAACTAGACTTTCGCCATCGTTTGTTGGTCAGTCCAAGGTTCTTGAGCGCTCGGCCTGGCAACTGCGTCTACATTAGCACTATGGAAGTATTCAGTCTTGCTGATGGTTTACCAGTTCGCAAATCTGCAGCCGCAGCTCTTGTGGCAGCTTTCCAATGTAACCTTGCACACTAGGTACTAGGGCCATGTCGAGTTCGCCCAATGCTTGCGGCATTTTGGGTGATGAATTCGCTGGTTATGTTGCAGTCCAGGGTAGAGTCGTGTGGTCAGTTGATCAGTCGATGAGTAGTAGAGCCAGTTCGGGTGAGGTTCTTATTCGATAGATGCGCGCGTTGGTCCCTGCACCGGCAGGAGCGTGGAATGAGTGAAACTGAAGTCAGCCACAAAGGGCTGCGGCGTGAGCAACGTGAGTAAGTTCCCATTCACTGACGACATGAGCAATCAGTTGTAGGTTACATACCCAGGTCAGTGAAGGCGTTGCAGTCACTGCTTCATGTAGTTCCAGTCGGGCCCAAGGCAAAACGCGTCCGAAAGACATCATGATGGAAGTACTTGCCAGCACTGCATCAAGCGACCAATATCTGGTCTTACTATTCCTCAATGAGCCTCATGAATAGCTGTTGGAAGCACCACTGCCCATCTCCTGGTAGCGTTCGAGGTACGTGTTAGCGGGTACCGAAGGCTGAACGGGACGCGTCGCGAGACAGAACAATCACGCGACGATGGTAAGCCTGGGGACGCCATATGACTAAGACAAGAAGTATCTACAGATTTGCTGAAACCGAGGAGAGCTGGCGGTAAGGCGACTGTATGGTGCGAGATGATGGTGGACGAACAGGCATCTCGGGGGCTCGGAGATTGACTTCAGTAAGCACCCGTGCGCCACGCTATCCACATTTGGAAAAGCATGACGCGTGATGTCATTGCGAGCTGTGCGCCCAAAACTCATCACGATACTTCGCGCATTACGCAGGAGTTGACTCTGGGGGGACTGGACATGGAGGCTGTGGTATTGAAATGTTTTGGTGCTATTCTCCTAGCTATACGGCATCACGCGGTATCCGCTACACTCTAGAAGCAGACATGATGCGCCCATAATCTCCCGAACACTAGGTGCGCGACAAAGACACGCATGTTTCCTGACAGGTATCAAGCACCCCAGGCCAAAGGATGGATTAACTTCCATCTCGTGGCTCCACCACCATAACAGACCGTGAACATCCTCTGGCCACCTTGTCTCCAGCCGCTTACTTCCAGAAAAGCATATCCTCATGTCGGCCTTGTTCTAGCATGGGAACAGCAAGAGCGCGCGAAACCTGCTTTCCTCCGCGCTTTGCTACTGTCAGTATTCCGCGACGGTAGGAGAAATCGGGAAATGAATGCCCATTCATGTCCATGAAGCCCGCCGACGAGTATGTATCTTCTGGCCAGTAGCCCGTACCAAAGGCAAGAAGCTCAATGGGCGATTTGTGGTCTGCAAAAAACTCCATGATGACATTGGCTACTTGTTGATAGCGGAGTTGATGTCTGTGGATGATGTACTCATATGTCTCCCCCTGCTCCTCATTTTGTGCTTGAAACAAAGGATAGGTAATACGGAGATTGCGGAGGTTGCGTAGATGGGTGAGAGGTAGCTATGATGAAGTTAGTGTGACATTCACGACCAATGTTGCCGTCATCGCGAAACACTTACTAAGAGATCGGAAACTTTCACATCCTCCTGTAAACCTCGTCCGGTATCGTGCACATTGAAAGTGTCATATGCAGTATAGTCCCCAAGGTCCCAATCAACAAGATTAAGACTGAGCGCTTCAATGTGCGGACAACTTGCCACGAGCCTTTCAAGCTCTTGAGGCGTATATCGTTCGACATTTCCCGTATAGAGACCTGTGTACTCGTAAAGATTAGGGAAGTGATCAATGTGCAGGTAGCGCAGAGATTCTCCATGGCGGCAGATGCTACCAATAGACGGGCGCATGGCCTTGATTGTGGTGATGCAGAGAGTCTCGAGTGTCGGAACGGCTTCAAGAAAATATTCGATTTCGGTGTTAAATGGCTTCTCTCCTTCCAGACCGTTCAATTGCCGGAAAATGACTGAGTTGAGAGTGGGCTTATCGCATTTGAGAAACTCATCGGCGAGGCACTGTACGGTGCGCGGCATATCCGAACAGTTACTCAGAAGCAGACTTTGTAGGCTACTCAGGTTGGTCATACCGCCGAAGCAATCTTCTTGCTCTTCAATGAAAGCAGAGTGGATCTCGATATTGCGTAGATCCAAGAGCACTTCCAGTTTTGGCATACTCCAGGAGTAGGGTCTTCCGTTGTGTGCATCTTGAGCCTTGGGTTTGATTGCGAGTCTTCGGAGAACGAGAGTGAAAGCCAAACATTTGGCATCGGCATGGCGATCTGCTTCTTGTGGTAGAAGTGTCAAATCTTCCAGCTTGTCTAGATTTCCTGTGAGTAACTTGTCGTGCAGGGTCGTTGAGGGAAACGAAAGTTTCGACAGCTGAGATTGAGTCTTGAGTATAAGACCAACCGTACGTTCGTCAAAGTCTAGCGTGGTCGTAAACGCTCGAAGGCTGTTTCGCGGTAGCGCGCACAGAAGCTGTACAAAACGACTTGAGATTTCCGTAGTGGTGGGGAAATGTTCTTCCCCATAATTGAATCCGTCAATATCCAGCTCCTTGATCGTGTCCAAGATATCATCTGAACGAAGTAGAGCATCGATTGTGCTGCCTTCATCGAGATTGGTCGTGAAGGTATTCCAGAGTACTGTGCCAGCTGCAGAACTCCATACTTTGTCGACCAGGCGGGCATGTGTTTGATCATCGTTCGGAAGCTGTAATTCCGTTAGCAATTGCACGTCACATCGCATAAAGACAGGAAGCGTTTATGGCTGCTTACAAGTTCGCAGATCATGTGTCTCAGCTCAGTCGGTAAGACCTTGGTATGGTCGAGCATGGCAGGCGCCGTCATCGTAGGAGCTTGATGGACTTAACGGTGGTGCGGTTCGCAAGGTAATGTATGGTTGAGAGTAGCCCTAATATGTGAGTAGAGATAAGATCAGTGCTCTGGTGGTAGAGAAGTCAGGGGAGCGAGCAACGCTACTTCTATATTTGCAGGCCCTTTCTCACCAGGCAACGGGCGTGAACGGGTCTGCTGTTGAACGCATTGGCTTCCTGCTCCAGTGAAAGCGTCAAGTCCTGCCAGTTGATGAAAGTCGCTCTAAGAAGGTCTCCGCCCGCACCTCGGGATTCCAGCGGTGAGCTACAAACATCTCTTACAGCTTGCTCCGCTGTGCTCTTTAATCAGCGTCGAGAAGTGTAGATGTTACCCCGTGCCAATTTCGCATCGCGAAGAGAAAGATCGGCTAGAAGCTGTAGCCAGACTTCACGCGCTGGCAGCAGGCGCGGACATCACTATCTTCCAGCGATAGCACGAATCTGTACGGCAGAGATAGAAACAATGGCATGACTTCAGGCAGCGCCGCAGGCGATGGCCGGTATTATGTAGTGAACGAAGGAGGTGGGGAAAGCGCGACGCGTCGTGGGCAGGTCACGCGTCGCTAGCGGCCGAGGTTCGCCCACGACGTCATCAGCGCATGTCAAAAGGGTCCGCTCTCTCGCAACTTCGCCGCTACCACTTCTACCACTACTGCTAGATCTTTGCACCGATTCTGTGTGAAGCTGAAGCGACGGACAAATCCAAGTGTGTCACAAGCAAGCAACCTTCAGCTCCACGCATCACGAGCACTTTCAGGTACGGACATGGACAATGCATCGAGATAAGCTGCATCTGAATCACTTTGAGACTGGTCGCACATCGTAATGTACGGCGATATGCATTCGCTGGGAGTTTTGGCACTTGGCTGATGGAAGCAGTGAACGCTAGGTGAAGACCAGTAACCATGCCAGAAAGGAAACAGCGAGGGAAGGCCTGCCTCATGCGTCCCATGCTCCTGATCTGCGGAGCGATATCCGTATAACTATAAGCGCTGATAGCCCATATCATCGGGAAGATCGAAAAGACAGGACGTATCAGCTGAAGTGACGACTAGTCTGCCCAGCCGATAAAGTTGGCAGATGGGATAGGAGGGGCGACTTGCGCTGCATACCGGCCTTTGTAGTTACCCGACGGAGCGTAATTGCAGACTGTGTACTTGTTCATGGCCGAACCTATGCCATTGACAGTCATGGCCCCGCCACAGTCAAGAGAGACGCATCCGACTTTGGTGGTGTCCTTCCACACCATCTGTGTAAGATGACCGACTTTCTCGAAGACCTCATGAGGTAGGTCACTCTTGCCAAACCAAGGTGTCATATGGGGAAGCTCGCCATGGTACCAGGTCTCCGATATGCCCGCCGTAACGTTGAATGCGTCGCCAGAGACAACAAACAAGTTTTGACCTTGGCCGGCGCCCTGTGGGGTGAAGTGCTCAAAGTCGCACCTGCTGGCAGCAATGCGCGCATTCGTCTCGCAGGCGGAGTCCCAGCTCAGTGGAGCTGCATCGTGATTCGCACGAACGGCGTTGTGATGGAACAGTATAGCAGCTTGATAGTCGGGTCCAGAAGAGAGGTAGGCCTGGTCTTCGCCCGATGGATGCTTTTGAACTGGATCGGCAGGCTTGGGCGCAGGACTGAAGCTGGGCATAGGTGCTTGTGACTTAACGGGAGTATCTGGAACCTTGGAAGTCGAGGGCTCGGGCCGAGGGGCAGGCTGGGGCATCGGCTCTGGGGTTGGAGTGGGCTCGGGGCTAGCGGTAGCGGATAGCGCCAAAGAGGTGGATGTCGGCGGAGTGTAGCCTCGAGTAACCGTGACGACGACCGTTTGTATGATCATCTTGGTCTCATAGACGACTCCTGGCTGCCTTGCATGGATGTGCGGATGAGCGATGATACTAGCGGCCAGAGCTGAAGCGACAAGAATGAAGTGATGCATCTTGGAGTGACTGAAAGCGCCCGGGTACGTAGTAGTCTTGAGTAGTGTCGAAACCAGATCACCGTAAGGAGAGGATAGAAAGACTGCTTGCCATGTTAGACATAGTCCAGGATGAAGAGTACTGTGCCTACCTAGTTGCTAGCTTCCTGGGGGCTGTGAGGTGCTGAAGTGCGACTGGCGCGACTGGGATAAAGAAGTGAGTGTAATTGCACGAAATGTAAAGAGAGTGTATCCTTTCAGACAAGCTGTGCAAGGAGGAAATCGAGGGAGCGACAGATGAAGGAGTGTGGGGTGGTTGAGTCAAATCGTGGTGGAGGGGAGGGAGGAAGGAAGGAAGCTGTTGATTGTTTATCAGTACCGGATTAGGCGAGAGTAGCTACGGTGAGGCAGGAGCGACTACCACAAGGTGAGAGACAACCCGAGCGCACCTGGGAAGCCACTATCACTCTCTCATCGCGAGTAGACAAGGATATTTGTAACAGAGACGATGCCATTGATGGCAGTCGCATGCTGCTCGCCATCGCTCAGGCGGTCACAAGCTGATGGCTGTGCATGGTAGTGATGAAGGTCATTCCTTGGCAGTACTAAGAGTCACTTCTGCTTTCGGATGGCATAACTGTCAACGGCGTCTCAGTAAGAATTTGCAGCACCGAAGTCGAGACGCTTGCGTCCGTTGCACCTTCGTCCATCTCAAACCAAGTTAGGCGATCGATAGAGGCTCCAGTCAATTCCGATATACCTTTCGTACTCGACTGCCTCCTTGTTACACAGACTACTCACGTTTGTAACCAGTACCAAGGCAGATGCGGCATCTTAGACCGCGTTACGGATCGCAACTACTTCTCACCAGGTAATTTCACGGCCGGGCACTACAAACCACTCTCGAGTTCGTTACACAGGAAGGATCGACCCACCTCGGTCGTGATAAGATCTTCTTGAACACAACAGCCTACTTGCTTCAGGCGCAGATTCAGCATTTGTACCACGGGCGAACCCCAAAGACATCATCTTAACCCTTTCTCTCTTTGTTCTTTGCAATCAAGTCTCAATCTTGTGCGACATCGCGTCCCAGAACAGACATAACATGCGTGAGCCGACGTTGCTGTCCCCTTGTTATCTCACCAGATGTGGCCATATCAGGCTACGAAGCCGTCTATGATGAATGATCTTTGTCTATCGCGCGTTGTTGATAAGCTTTCCGCAAAGAGCTTCGCTACCAAAGCCGAGCCGATGGAAGCTTCTAGAAATGGCGTACAACGCACGTCATGACACTGTAGCTTACGTTGGCGCGATGTATCTGCGTACCACTCTGCGAAATCGATGCAGGTCAGAAGGGATGCAGATTGCAGAGAACCGAATCTCCGCGCCGATCCCCAGCCACTCAGGGTTCTAGAGATTACGTCGTTGGCGGGATGCGGGGCAATTCGGCAGGGGCGCGGAGCTACTTCGCATGATTGATAACGTTCAGTAGCCTCGGAGCCGCGCGCCACCAGATTTCACCAGAACTCTTTTTTTGCTGTATGCCTGCCGTGAGATTCAATTTTCGAGGCTCCTGTCGATCTGCCCGCACCCCCATCGCGACCGCGCCACCCCGCCGTATACCAGCTCCAGCTACTGCGACCCCACCATCTACATCGCGAGCGCAACAGCGCGACTTCCGTACATCTATCCTGAGAATGGACGCGCATAGTTCTTCCGCTGGGTCCGCCACCGCAGATGACGACTTGAAGCTCAAGAACCGCCTCAATGAGAGCCGAAGCCCTTATGTTCGGGGCCACATGAACAACCCGGTCGCATGGCAGATGTGGGGACCAGAGGCAATTGAGCTGGCGAAGAAGTCGAACAGGCTGATCTTCATCAGCATAGGCTATGCTGCATGTCATTGGTGTCACGTCATGGAGCGTGAATCGTTCGAGAATGAAGAGGTCGCGAAGCTGCTCAACGAGAACTTCATACCCATAAAGATCGATCGCGAAGAGCGGCCGGACGTCGATCGCATATACATGAACTATGTTCAAGCAACAACAGGTTCAGGAGGGTGGCCACTGAACGCTTTCATCACACCAGATCTGGAACCGATATTCGGCGGGACGTATTGGCCCGGTCCAGGGTCCACGATGGCGATGGGAGAGCACGTTGGCTTTGTTGGCATACTCAAGAAGATTCGCGATGTGTGGAGGGATCAACGACAGAGGTGTCTGGACTCGGCGAAGGAAATCACAGCGCAACTGCGAGACTTTGCGGAGGACGGAAACATCAGCAGGAAAGATGGCGCAGCTCATGAAGGTCTTGACCTAGACCTTCTGGATGAAGCATTCGAGGTGAATTAGCAGCGTTTGGTATAAACCCAGTCACTAACTGGTCACAGCACTTCAAAAAGCGATACGATGCAAAGCACGCAGGCTTTGGCAGCGCACCCAAGTTCCCAACACCTTCGAACCTCCAATTCCTCCTTAAACTATCCGAATATCCAAATGCGGTCAGAGAAGTGCTCGGAGCAAAGGACTGCACACATGCGAAAGACATGGTACTGGCGACACTGGACGCGATGAACAAGGGTGGCATACACGATCAAATCGGAAACGGCTTCGCGCGATACTCTGTCACGAAGAACTGGAGCCTACCGCATTTTGAGAAGATGCTGTACGATCAGACTCAACTCCTGCCCGTATACCTGGACGCGTATCTCATGACGAAGAGCGATGAGCATCTATCAGCGGTCCACGACATCGCGACGTATCTAACCAGCCCGCCGATGCACGCTGAGAGTGGAGGCTTTTTCTCTTCCGAGGATGCTGATTCGTTATACCGGCCAAATGACAAGGAGAAGCGAGAGGGTGCCTTCTACGTATGGACATTGAAGGAGTTCCAGGACATACTAGGCGACCGAGACGCAGAGATTCTCGCGAGATACTACAATGTCAAGGATGAGGGCAATGTCGAACCTGAACATGATGCACACGACGAACTGATCAACCAGAACGTCCTAGCAATCACCGCAACACCAGCAGATCTGTCAAAACAGTTTGGTCTGTCGGAGGACGAGGTCAGCAAGATACTAACAGAAGGTCGGCAAAAGCTGCTCGAGCACCGCAACAAGGAGCGCCCACGGCCAGGTCTAGATGACAAGATCGTAGTATCCTGGAACGGTCTCGCCATCGGTGCCCTCGCACGAACATCCGCCGCCCTCTCATCACAAGACCCCACACGCTCAAAACAGTACCTATCCGCCGCCGAAAAAGCCGCCGCCTTCCTGCAAAAAGAGCTCTACAACCCCTCCACCAAAACTCTCATCCGCGTCTACCGCGAAGGCCGCGGCGACGCCCCCGGTTTCGCCGACGACTACGCCTATTTGATCTCCGGCCTAATCTCCCTCTACGAAGCCACCTTCAACGACAGCTACCTCCAATGGGCCGACGACCTCCAACAAACACAGCTAAAGATGTTCTGGGACAAACAACACCTCGGTTTCTTCTCCACGCCCGAAAACCAACAAGACCTCATTATGCGGCTGAAAGACGGCATGGATAACGCTGAACCAGGCACAAATGGCGTGTCAGCGCAGAATCTGGACCGTCTGGGTGCGCTGCTAGAAGACGAGGAGTACACTAAGAAAGCACGGGATACGGCGTCTGCTTTCGAGGCGGAGATTATGCAACACCCCTTCCTTTTCCCGAGCATGATGGATGCAGTTGTTGTTGGTAAGCTCGGCATCAGACATAGCGTTATCACGGGTGAAGGTCAAAGGGTAGATGAGTGGTTGCAGAGGTATCGGGAGCGACCGGCTGGTCTTGGTACTGTTAGTAGAGTGGGTAAGGGTATGGGTGAGTGGTTGAGTCAGCGGAATGCGCTTATCAAGAGCATGGATAAGGCGAGTGAGGGTGTCATGGTATGTGAGGGTGGCGCGTGTAGAGATGCACTAAGCATGGATATGGGAAGTGTCGGGGATGCGGTACCGAAGGTGTAGGAATGGCCTTGGAAGCACGATATCATGACGGCATGATTGTACGGTATACATGAACAATGAACGTATGCAGAACACTGCGACTTATCTCAAAGAGCACACGGGGAGCTACTATGACAGTATTGTCTGAATGCAGTGGGGAGTCACTATTGGCTGTTCATGTTGTTGCTTCGCACATGCGTCACTCTACCTTGCACAAGTAAATCAGTACGTAGGCGTGTAGCCCACATCAGTGTGAGAACCAAAGTTTCACGCCTATCCAAGGCAATGTAGACTTCTGGCTTGTTTGTAACATCACCCGTACAATAAACCCCCAAACAGGCGTGCAGCATACATGAGTTCAAACCCCAAAGTTATCTAGTATCTCAAGGTAACGTAGCCTCCTAGCCTATTCCCACCAACCCGTACAAAGCCCGCCTTCAGATATCCTCTCGCGTCGGGTGGTGACTTCCCTCTACCATCTCACACCAGCAAAAAGACAGAACAACCTCCTACCATCTCGTCACTCTTGCTACTAGACTTTGAATACTCTTTTGGACATAGTATGCTCACAAAAGAGCAAAAAAAAACGGGCAAGCCCGGAAGGATGGTCACTACGAGGGTCGAACTCGCGACCTTGGCGTTATTAGCACCACGCTCTAACCAACTGAGCTAAGCGACCGGTATTTGTTGTTGTTCGATGAAGAAAAGAGAGATTAATTGCAATATATCTGTATGAGCGTGGGGTGATGAAGCGTGCATGGGCTGAATATGCCCCTCAGTTCTCCCCAGACGCGTGAGTGAGATGTCATAGTGAGGGTCACACCTTCCAATGTGGATTGGAGTCACAGGTGCGGGGCAAGGCGGAGCGCGAGTGGATAATGAGCAACACCCACAGATGTAGTCAAGTCGTTCAATGCAGAATACATTGAGTAGTACTGGTATAGAAGTTTCCAGCTCGAAGCTGTACATTATGATCGGCCGTCATATCGCATACTTTTGGTACATAGAGAAGACATCCGCTAAATCCAAGCTACCTATGCAATTACCTGCACCCAGTCGGCAAACCGCACCTTCGCGTAAAAGGTTGTACATGTGTACTTCCTTCCCTCCCAATCTGTCGAAATGAAATTGCTTTTACGCATGCTGCTGCTGAGGCTGCATTTGCTGGTGTTGTTGTATCTGCGCTTGTTGTTGCTGCTGCTGCTGCTGCTGCTGCTGTTGCTGTTGCTGTTGCGCAGGTGCGGCTAGCGACACGGCTGCGAGGGTATCAATTGTCTGTGACAAAGGAGTGTTAGTTCTACTTGCTGCAGCTGCAGCGGCATTGGCCTGCTTCTTCTTGTTCTTCTTCTTACTCGTAGTAGGAGCATTACCCGCAGACACCTTGCTGGTCATCTCGCCACCGCCAGCATCGGCGTCAGGCCAGTCGAACGTCCACCCTCCGCCGGCAGTGAACGGAACCTTCTTGATGAATTGCGATACATCCGCTTGCCTCCTCAATGCCTCCAGGTAACCTGCTACCTCTCGGAGCACGTCCCCTTGCATTTGCTCTGGCGTAGCGCAGAACTCGGGAATCTCAAGGAGGTTGTGCGGCTGCGCACTCGCCTTGAGCGAAGAGTCGTCAATCAGCACTGTGTTGTGCTGGCCGAAGCGACTGCCGGCCTCATAATCTGGATGGAAAGACTGGATCTGACTTCGACTCCACACAAGCTTCAGGTTCTTGTATACCTGTACGTTCTGCTGATAGTTTGTCGGCGAGAGTCCAAAACTGTCGCGGGCCCATTGAGCAACGAGCTTCGACCGTAGATCGTTGTCCAATGCTTGGCTGACTAGAGACTTGACGTTGTCTGGCCTCGCGCTCGACCACACCATGACCTTGAAGTTCTCAAAGAGGTAGCGCAGGAAAGGCTTCAGGTATGGGCGCTCGATCATAGTCTTGGCGTTTTTATTGGGGCGGAAGAGCACCGTGCCGTTGAGATCCAAAATTACCAGCATTTGGCCCGGTGTCTCGTTGGTGGTAGGCTCCGCAGCGGCCTGGTCCAGATACTCTTGCGTAGGCTGCGGCGCAGGGAGCATGATCTTTTCATCACCATAGCGTCCCTTCTTTTCGCCGGCCGCTTTGGGTGCCTTGGGTGCTTTGGGAGTACTGTGAGGTTTGTTAATTCGAGAGCACTTGGCTTCAAACGAAGCAATGCGGTGGAGGGTACCATACTCTTTCTGCTTAGCTTGCCCGTTGGCAGTAAGCCCAGACTTTGACTTCTTGCCTGGAGGAGTTGGTGCCCTGTTCTGAGTATTAGCGGTGCGGCTCTTTGACTTTAGACCCTTCAACAAGGCATCGAAAGCATACTGTATGTCCTCGTTCCTCGCTCCATGCGGGAAATTGGCCTGCTGTTGCATCATATGGTAGGGCGGGCGGTTCGGGTACATCTGGTTTTGCTGGTGAGGCATAGGCGGGGGCCCACCGTGATGCGCCTGATGTCCGTATGGTTGCTGGCCAAATGGCGGCCCACCAAACGGCGGCTGGCCATGAGGCGGCATGTGTGGAGGTGGGCGCCCCGCAAAGGCCTCTGGACCTAGCGGGAAAGGAGGCGGCGGCGGTGGGTGATGCGGGTGGCCGTTCTGCACCATCCAGTGGTGGTATGCCATGGCTTGCTGGTGAATTGCGAAGTCATGGTGCTGGTTGCTGAACATGTGCGGGGGCTGCTGGGGCGGCGGCGGAGGCGGCGCAAAGTTCTGGTTGAAGAAGCCATTCGGCGGCCCGTATGGTCCTGGTGGTGGTCCCTGGAACTGAGGAGGGGGTGGTGGTGGAAGCTGGTTCTCGAAGGCGCCAAAGCTCTGCTCGCGACGGTCAAAGCCGCCCGGGCGGAAGGGCATCGCATTCGGATTCCATGACTCGTTCATGCTGGCGCTTGCGGAGGCAAAGAGCGGGCGCCCGTGAGGAGTGCTGTCTCGACCTGTCTTGGTCTTGAAGTTGTCGGTGTTAGTGGAGGAAGTTGCGACTGGAGCGCAGTGGGGGATGCTGTACCGAGCTGATGCGACTGCGGCCATGGAGCACGTGCGATAGCGACAGACGCTCGGCGGAACGGGAGGGGTGAGCGGTGAAAAGCCTGGTGAGGTGAAGACGGAGAGCACGCAGCATGAAGCCCAACGGTGGAAGGCGCACTCGAAATTTGGGCGCAGTTGCCTGTCTGTCGGCCCTGTCGGCGAATCAAACCCCCGGCAGGTGGGGTCCACAAAAATGTTGGTAGACCGCGGCGAAGAAGAACGCGACAGGAACCCGATACCAATACACCCTCAACAAGCGCTTTCACGGCGACATCCTCAAATCTAGGCTTTACGATGGTGCTCGCAAGCAAGTTGGATCGCACTCTGCGCGCAGCCGAAGACAGCTCAGACGCCGAGAGCTACTACGAGGTCACCGACCGATCCTCTTCTGCGTCTGTAATCGAGGCAGATGAGGGCGGTAACGTGATTAGTTCAGATGGCGAGGAGGATAGAGAATCAGGAGACGAGGATATAGTAAGCCTCCAAGACTTCTACTCTGCCAGCGCATGCCGCTAACATCACCAAGTCAGACGCCTCCGACGATGACCAAGTAAAAGCGCAAATGAGCAAAGTCTCTTTTGGAGCACTAGCCAAAGCACAAGACGCCATTTCAAAACAACAACCCGCAGACCGAAAGCGAAAACGAGGCGACGACACATCTAAATCGCAAGAGGACAAGCTGGAAGCGTTGAGGGAGCGGTTACGGCAGATCAAGGCTGAAAAGCTTGCGAACGGTGCACAGCCCAGCAAGAAAGCCAAGACGGACAAGAAGAGCAAGAGCAAAAGTGAGAGCAAACGAGACACTCAGGAAGCCGACGAGGATGGAGACTCCGACTCCGACGCAGCTCCAAAAGCGCGCTCGAGCAAACACGCACCCGCTGTCCAGTCGAGCAAGCGTGCGGTGTCACGTAAGCGGAATGTAGTCGATGTGAAGAAGCCAGTCTTCCGTGACCCCCGGTTCGACAATACCTCAGGACCCCAGCCGGATGAGTTTGTGGTCAAAAAGCGTTACGATTTCCTCAACGACTACCGAAAGTCTGAGATTTCCGAACTGCGCCAGACTATAAAGAAGACGAAGAACCCGGTCGAGCAGGAGCAGCTGAAGAAGAAGCTACTCTCTATGGAGTCGCAACAAAAGGCCCGCGAGAACAAGGACAAGCTACAGGAGGTGACACGGGAGCACAAGAAGAAGGAGAAGGAGCTTGTCAAGGAGGGCAAGCAGCCTTTCTTCTTGAAGAAGTGTAGGTCCACTCAGTTCCCTCGTCTCAATATGCATGTACTGACATTATGTTCCAGCCGAGCAAAAGAAGATTGCATTGGTCGACCGCTTCCAGAACATGAAATCGAAGCAGCGCGAGAAGGTCATCGAACGCCGTCGCAAGAAGGTCACGGCGAAGGAACGGAAGAACATGCCCGACGAGCGCCGTACTGCTCAATAGCCTGTACGGGCACTTTTCGAATACTTTCAATATCTGTCGCTTGCAATCAAAGATACCCCTGCTTCAACGATCTGACAACTCTGCTATCGTCGTCTTCATATTCGTTCTCCTGGAAAATACCCTTTCATCATGTGACGAGTAATTGATGAGTCCACGATTCGATTATCGTAAGATGCGGCGTCAACTATCGCGTTGTCCGCAGTCAAGCACAGACAGGGGATGGAGATCTAGGGCGGCCTAGATGAGGCTTTCCCCAGATCTGCACTAGTCAGGTACACTTCAAGCCTCTCACCAACCCATTTCATCGTGACGCATTGTCCACTCGATACGCCACGAAGTCCCTGTGTGTCTTTTGTAGATGTGCTAGATTGTTTTGGTTTATTTGGTCTAGCATTACAGCCCCTTCATTGTGAAGAGACCTATTCGAGTCAAGTTTCTTTCCACAACTTGGCGTTCCAGTAGGGAGCTTACACTTTCGTGGGTTTAGATCGAAAGCCATTTCGCTTCCGTGGTCGATTTCCAGCTGGTAGAGATGAAAGCAAAGCGCCTTCGGAACGTCCGAACGACTTCGTCTGGCCCTGTATCAGCTCAGCCATGCCCAACGCCACGAAAATGACTCCGTGTGCGCATGTTCTTGCGACTTGTATATATGTTGGTGTATTCTCTTGTCTGAATCTTTACTCAAGTCATTCATTTCACCAGTGGCAGGAACAAACGTCCACAGTCGGCCCAGAATCGGAAATCTTTATCAAAATGCGCAAATCCATCACCACCCTCCTTCTCTCTTTGGCAGTTGCCAGCTCAGCCCAAGAAGAGATTCCCGGACTCACTGACGTCAAAGATTCGGAGTGTCAACTCATTTCGCCTCTTATCGATGAGCTACGAGCGGTGCCGACAGCGGCGGAATTCTGTTCGTCGCTCCTGGCCATCCCTACCGTCACGGTCACTTCTAGCGCAATCAGCACGTCAACTGTCATTTCAACTACAGATACCCTTGAGACGACTACACTCACAGAATCGTTCACAAACACCGACGAGACTACAGTCACCGGCACTACAACCTTGACAGCCGATGCAGTCTTGGTAACCATCACCACGTAAGTCACTTCGCACGGATGCCGCACTTTACACATTCTAACATTTCTAGAACTACCGAAGTACAGCTATGCCCAGCGACAGCAAAGATAGTAACGGTGACAGCCGAAGCACCCATCAAACGCGATTATGTGCAGACACTCAGTTCCAGCAGCACATCATGCACTAAGAGCAAGAAATCTTCGACTACTGCGACTCCTTCATCCACATCTACGAAATGCTCGAGCACAGCGAGCTACCCGGTCGTGAAACCTTCCAGTGCGGTAGAGGTCCTATCGTCGCAATCGCCGAGTGCAGTGCAAGCATCGCATCTAGCTTACTCAAGTGTATCACAGGCGTCGTACGCGTACTCGAGCGCAATGAAGTCGGCTTACTCAACTCTCTCAAGCATCGTGGAGTCATCGGTCGCAGCGACTTCAATCACTATGGAATCATCCTCTACAATCACCCTCAGCTCTGTCGAGGCTTCTTCCACGGCATCTTCCAGCACCACGGTGTCATCATCCATCGCACCTTCCAGCACCCCAGAGTCCTCTTCCATCATAACTTCAACCACCACCGAACCATCATCCACACCCACACCCATCCTCCCCACCCCAACATTCTGCCTGACCGCCCCAGAAGGTCTCCAGCAATACGAATGCGCGCAAATCACCAAAGCCTGCGAATGTCTCTCCCTCGCAACCCCTACCATCACTGTGGTCGTCAGCAGCACCGCCACAGAAACAAGCATCTCCACCTCTACCACCTTCACCGAAACCGTCGTCACCGTAACTACGACTGCGACACAGGAAATCGCTGCGACGGAAACTATGACCCCGACTGTGACGGTTGTTGCAACGGCCACCACTACGGCAGGACCGGACTTCCAATCCGATCCTAATAACTGCGGTGGTTGCGGTAATGTTTGTGCAAGCGGCGGTTGCGCTCGTGGGCTTTGCACAAATCCCAGCTGCGCACCTTCTTCATGCACCAAGTATGTCTACTGCGGTTCAGGATGCATCTGCGGTTCCGTCGCTGGAGGTGGCGGTCTGTGTGTGCCGGGATCGACTTCCTGCAGCAGTCCCCAGTGCAAGGTCAATGAAGACTGTGCGACCAATCAGCTGTGTGTTGTAAATACGTGCTGCAGAGGTGGTGGTGGTATTTGTGTGAATGCGGTAACTACATGTTCCAATGGGGATGCGCCGAGAGCGTTATTTGTTAGAAGACCATCTGGCGAGACTATTATGGGATGAGGGATGTATAGTTCCCGTTATATTTTCTATGTGTAAACTTCACCGTAGATTTAGTTTAATATCAGTTTCTTCTGTCAAGATTAGACTTCTGTACAGTGAGTAGGTATTCGAAGATGATGAAGGTAATGATGTTACAATTGCAAAAACTTCAACTACAGAAAAAACCCAATCCCTAAAGGCTACTAAGACATTATTCTCTCTTTTTTCGAAGTGAAAGTTACCAAGAAAGAAGAGAAAGATGGAAATGTCCCGAAAACCCCAGATCCCAAACGCCGGATATATATTCCCCCCCTACAGAGCAGAAATCATGCAAATTGAATCCAAATGTGAAGGTAAGTGGCGAAAGATAAGACGGCCCAGCCTACGCGCGAAGAGTACCGTAGTCGGCATTCGTCATCTCATTCGGCATCTCCTTGAGGCTGAACTTCTTAAAGTCCTTGACAAGACCATTATCCTTGCTCTTCAAGTCCTGTCCAACATCCTTGCCGCTCTGCTTCGACTTAGGCTGCGGGCGTTTGCTCTCATTAGTCGGGCTCTCGACGACGGTATCCTCAGAGTCATCTGCCTCCTCCGCGCGCTCAGCCCTGACATCATCATCGATCTCCTGCTCAGCCTCCTCATCCAACTTCTGCGTCTCATGCTCCACATCGACGAGGTCCTCAGCTTCAGCCGGCTCCTCGCGCGCATCAGGCACAACCTCCTCTTCAAGACGCCAGTCCTGGATCGCCTTGATGATGTCGACAGCAAGCTGGCCGTTCTTACGCAGCGCCTTGTCCCAGTGCGCAGGGATACCCTTCTCGATAACCATCATGCGCGCCACGGCGTGGACAAGCATGTGGCGCATGGGACTGCCCTCCTCGGTGTTGGCGTAGATGTACTGCACGCGACGCAGACCGGGGTAGCTATCGCTGTACTTGTACCATTCGCGGACGACCTGCAGGACGTCGGCGACGAGGCCTGGTATCTCGAACTTCTCGGCCATCAGGTACAGGTCGAAGCAGACGCCTAGGTCGGCTTCTTCGCGCGGGACGGGCAGGGAGGAGCTGTAGAGCCAGCCGACGAAGGTCTTGAAGGGCGCATCTTCTTCGTCTGGCAGACCGAAGGATTGCGTGCGCGACGCTGAGTTGGCTTTGGAGTAGAAGATCTTGCGGAAGAAGGGCGAGTGGTAGCACAGCAGTTTCTCGTGCAGGATCCAGTGCGTGTTCTCGGGGCCGACGTAGATGTCGACCATGGAGCGGGAGAGGAGCCTGTGGTTGGTGTGTTAGTTCGTTACGCAAGGCTTGGTAATGCAGACGCGCAATCCCATCTCATCGCGAACGCGACGATGCGCGTCGCGGCGTATTAGATGCCGAAATAACGTACTCATGGAGCTGTTTTTCCTGTACGCCAGACATGACTTCTGCGGTTCTATCTCGGTGATGTTACTCGATGATCAGCGACCGTTGACGATCGATTATCCGTGTTCCCGTCGGGTGACGATTGCGCGATGAGCCTCAAGCGAATAAAGTTTCAACGTCCCAACGTCGAAATACCGTGGTAGATGGTATTAGATGCAGCGTAGATGGCAAAAGGTCAGAAGTAATGCAGGACAAAGAGAGATGTGGCAGTGCCAACTTTAAGACGCAGCTCCCAAACCTGCGCGAGGTGGCCTTGTCCCAGCCCCCGTATGACGTAGCTTCTTTTTCCGTCGCGACCAGTCGTCCAAAAAGAGACGGGTATGATGCACGTCTGCTGCGCCAGGCGGCACGCTTCCTTGACCCGTACCCCTGTTCTTGTTTTCTCCCGCCCCGTCGCACATTTGCATCCCCGCTTAGTTTTACCCGCTAGCCAGGCATCGACGAGATCGAGAACAACTTAATGCGCATTTTCATCCATCCACTGCCAATGCAGGTTTTGGACGGGCATTGGCGTTGCATGTCATTTCGCTTTTGGATGATGCGTGTGTGCGATACGCGCTGTGTTGGGAAAGGGGGGGCTGGGTGTGGTGTGCGTGTTTTAGAGGGATGGCATGCGTAGGGGTACGGGGATTAGGTAAGTGTGACGTTTGACTTGTGGAGATGCGGGCTGCCAGGCGCGTTCTGGCCAAGGTAGGCAATAGATTGGTGAACAGTAGTTCTGTCTGTTCTTTGGGACGGGCTATTTCTTGTCTTCGATGGCTTCTCAGCCAGTCAATGGAGATTTGGGGGTTTGCGCGATCCTGCGCTGGTCATCTCCTTCAGATTGCCCGTCCGCATCCAGACGAGGACGGAATGCGCTCCAATCACGAAACCATGTCTCGACGCAGGGCAACTATGCTGCTTTTTGCTTTTGCAGGACTTGTGATACTCTAGCCTCACCGCTGCGCCGGTCTCTGCGCACTCATGGAGTGCTTTTCCTGCACCCTGACAGGCACTCCCCCATCAACTTCGACATCGTAGTCACGAAATCTCGCAGAACTACTCAGTTAGTTTCAAATTCAAATCACACCGCGAATGCCAACTCATCGCCTAACTCCCAACCTCTTGATTTCTTGCCTTGGCCGAGCACTCCTCGAGCCGCCCCGTCGCAGCCTGGTCGCCGATGCCTACCTATCGACAGCCAGGAAGATGCCAGCACCCCGCATTATGCTAATGCGGGTCGCGCATGACATCGCGTACTGTTACTCTCTTTGGAGCTTGGAGTGTTCAAAGAAGAATCTACTGGCCTCGTACTCGCGATGCGCAAAAGATAGTGTGCACCAACCCCCTAGTTACTTCCGCACAATGCGCACAATACCAGCCTCGTTCTTCGAAACCTCAACATTGCTCGTATCGTGAGGCAAAGAGAAAACAACAAATCTCACTTAAGGACAATGAAGCCTGGTGGCTGTCCCTGCAGAGCAAAAGTGACAGGCTTGCGAGACCACACTCGCCATCCCTTAACACACCATTGCTTCGAGCGTACCAGCCCCGCGTGTTATTACCATAATTTATACTTGCACTTGCAGGATAAAAGGATGAGGGTCAATCAATGTGAACTTACTAGCAGCTCAGATCTGTCACTGTCGCCCTCGTTGTAGCATGTGCAGTACATAACGAGTGTTTCAGCGACAAACTCACCCTTCGTACTACGACTTTTGCAACTTTACGGTTTCTGGAACTTTGTATAGCTTCCACAACTCAAATGTTGAGGTCGAAACGGGCTAGGATAGACGCAGAAGTAGTAGTTTAGCTTTCACACGTATCAGATCTACGAAATGATAAGCTCTCCACCGTCTTCGTACTCTACCGTTGTGTTCAACAATCTTTGATCTTTCCACGAAAGGACTTTCTAGATCTCGATCCCCAAATCGTTTAGCTTTCACAAGCCGACATCATAACCATACTTACCCTGCTAATACAACACAACGTACAAATCCCCAGATTCCACGGCCGGCGTCACAATCCCCTCTTCCTCCTCCTCCAGTACTTTTGAAGCCGTGCGAAATCGCCCTGAGCAGCCATCAAGGGCGCCCACCTGCGTAATTTGTCCGAACCCAGATTTCGGATCCGAAGGATATCTCCGTTCGGTGGCGCGGTCACCACATAAGGCAATATGTCGAGAGCCGTCGATTGCTGTTGTCGGATCCGAAGGATATGTCCGTTAGGTGGCGCGGTCACCACATGAGGCAATACGTCGAGAGCCGTTGATTGCTGTTCTCGGATCCGAGCCACGGGCCATGGGCCTGTTGCTTGACGAGTTTGAACAGGCTATTGGAGAGGGTAGTGGAGAGGAGAGGAGAGGAGAGGACGTGCGATGTCGGGATGTCGATGAAGAAATTCGATGGATGAGTACATGGATCGAAGTTGATATTACGATTCTTTAGAGGCACTTTCTTACAACGTTCGCTTGATGTAGTCATAGGCGCAAAACAGAGTGGACACAAGGAGTTTAGACGTGTTTACAAATCCGAAATAAATGTTGACAAGAAGGTCTA